ATAATTTTCTTTCGTATTAATGTACCTAATTCTTTGATGGTAATATATATATATATATATATATATATATATATATATATATATATAAGTAAAAGGCTCAAACATTAATATTCCATGATTATAATTTATTACATTGGAATCATAATCACGATCCAAATAATTTATAACCATGGAATATTAATGTTTGAGCCTTTTATATTATATTCTTACTCTGTCCTGGACATTGTGTTCTAACTGGATTTTATCCTCTTGGGTATTATATATGCATGTCCACTGAGGATTGTGAATATTTCCTATCGAAATTCAGCTTCTAGCTACATGTCAGGAAGCTTACTTAGGGATTTAATCTGGGACACAAACAGATACTATTACTATTGTGTATATGTGTGTGTATGTGTATATATGTCTGTGTGTGTATGTATATAGAGGAAGATAATAATATATATTTTTATATATCAAGAACGGTATTGGAAGAAATTGTGTGACAAAATGGAAAAAGTTTACTTGTGACGAATTTCATCCTTCAGAACTTCATCGGACTAAATTTGTTGTTGGTAGTCCTGAAGGACGAAACGCGTTACACGTAAACTTTTCCCACTTTCCTATATATATATATATATATATATCTCCAAGTATATAATTGATGTATACGGAATGAATTCCAATAACCAACAATTACTATCTGAATAGCTATTATAACATGATTTCGTTGTGAGGCTTTTGAATCTTCCTATACTTGGGTTTTGATTGGTCATTCTAGCTTCTGTAACTATGTTTTCCCCTAGCGAAGGATCGTTAATTAATTTGAAACTTTTAAAACCATTTATTTTATCTTTAACATCATCACTTGATAAGACACCGAGGGTGTTGAAACAAAATGGCTATTTTTGTATTGATTTTATAACATATTTATGTTATAATTTTTTTTTTATAAAAAATAATTATATATATATATATATATTATTAATAATAATTTTATCATATACACAAAAACAGTCTACTCACCCCAAAGATGCAACTTCGTTTCGGTGCATTTCAACTGCGCCTTGACTGTTTTCATCCGTCGAGGTGCAATTGAAATGCACCGAAACGAAGTTGCATCTTTGTAGTGAGTAAACTGTTTTTGTCTATATGATAAAATTATAATTAATAATTATCGCTCTACTATCGGTATCGAGCCCTCTTTTGGATTAATGTTGTGATCGTTAGAATTTATATATTACTTTCTCATATATATATATATATATATATATATAGCAGCGTATCGTTATTCAAACATATTTCATTGAATAATATAGACATATTGCATCTACTTATTTCTAAACAGATCCTTTCCAGTTGTCTAATTAGTTTCTTGATGTTGAGATGAAATTCATGAAGGAAGGCGCCGTAGTTTATTTTTATAACCCAAGTACTTTCGATCTTTTTCAAGATCATCTTAATTGTAATTTCGACAAAATCTGCATTCCGTTGTGATGATGATTAATAAATGCAATGGTGATTAATGTATATACACAATATATCTATATTATTTAATGACACACACACAGACACACACATATATATATAATTTTGTGTATTTAGGCAGCAATCCCTCTTTTATACATGTTTAATTAAAGACGACAGTGTTTTCTTTTCTGGACACAAAGTGTGTAGAAACTGTCCAAATGTTTATGTAATTCCAAGTGCTTTCGGCTATACTTTTAGCCATTATCAGGGATGATTTTATTTTTACTTTTTAACTGGAGGTATGGGTTGTGTCGATGTATCTAGAGTTATAGGGATGTTTTATTTTCCGATTATAGTCAGCCCATCGTGGCCGTGTTTGTAGTTAATATTTTTTGAGTTGGCCTTTTCTTTGTTATTATTAATAATGTTACCATTATTTATTTTTTTTGCATATGAATGAGGTTATTATACTTGTATTTTCTACTAGTATGTTTCGGATGAATTTTGGCAAGTTTGTGTGTGTGTTTAAATGGGTTCTAATGGAGCTGTGATCGGATAGGTGTAATGTAAGACGTCTGGATAGGCATGTAGTAGTGTGACCGATGTAATTATGAATTTGGTTTGATCAGGAACACAGTTCCTTAAGGGGCATTTGAACTCTTAAATAATGTTCGTTCTTTATAGTTTTTGATTTTGCAGGTGTCTTGTTATTTTTGAGGATAAGGTTAGTTATTTAAATAACTACTACAAAAAAATTTAAAACAACTAACCTTATCCTAAAAAATAACACCTACAAAATCAAAATTTCAAAGAAGGTAGCCGTGGTTGAAGCCAATAGCGATTTTATTGAATAAATTTGCTCATTAATATTTCAAGGTATTTTTGTGTAATTTTGGTAAATACATCTGTTAAAATGCAAGATCAATGTTATTTTCACTTTTGCGTCATTTAGGCGTCAATTAATCCATTGCACCCTTACATATATATATATATATATATATATATATATATATATATATATATATGTGTGTGTGTGTATACACTAATTTCCCATACCTAAGATTTAAAATGAATTTTTATAAATGAAAAAGTTTTCTTGAAGCTTCATTTTAGCTTTAATTGAAAGCCAAAGGATAAAATTGACTATTTCCAGTAAGCAAAATACTCTGGTGTATTTCATACAGAAATTATATTAAATGGAATCGGTTTTTTCTTTTTAAAATAGCTGATTAGCGCCCTTTTTAGTTGTCTTTCATTTCAATGTAATTTTCTGTATAAAAAAATCTTCCAAAAATAAAATATACTTTTCTGAAATTTTATTTGAGGAACGTTAGCTGATTTAAAACAATCGGATTTGGAAAAAAAAAATTACTTTATGTGTAAAATAACACAGAAATGCATTTAAAAAAAACAATATCTGTGTTTTTAGCCGACATTGCTATGGTTTATGCAATTGACGAGACGATGACAGTTTATGATATGATGATTGTTGTTCTACGGAGACTTTATCTTCAAAAGAAAATTCAAGAAAATGACGTGCGCGCCTTTTTAATATAATTTTTAATATAATTTTACGTACTCAGTATACTTGTTGGAAAATATTCTCCGTAATCTAATTTTAGGAATGTTGACTTTAATTTACTATAGTCATCGCTCTTATTTTATGATAATGTCGTGTATAGTCGCCCATACATTCAAAAATGGGCACGTTGCATAATATTTTATATACATAGATAAAAAATTAAAAATTAATTTTAAAAATCTTGGTGTGTAATGATTGGTATTAAACTTTTCAAATTTGGATTAGTAAATATAGCTTTCACTTAATAACAATATCCGATAACAAGATTAAACTAATGTGGAATTTTAAAAGGATTTTAAAAATTATAAATTATTATGATTAACACTAAAAAAATGAAAACAATTCTTGAAAAAATTCATTGTTCATCGAAATTTTTTAAGACACTATTGTCTTTAATAAATCTTATTTATAAAACCAGTAAAAAGCTTTTCTAATTAAATAATGTCTGTTTTATTCCATTTTTTAATTTTATGATTCGGAGCAGATTTTCGGGAAATGAGAAGTTTGGAAAAAAAATGTGGATTCACATTTTCCAAGGAATCCTGCTTTTAACTAATAAAACAAATTTTTGCGTTGAAAATTTAATTTCTCGAAATTTCATGAAGTGGCGAGGCTAACATGCAAATATATATATATATATATATATTTTTTTTTTATCAACATCTAAAAAAATACAAAGGTCAAAAATATTATCCTTCATTTGTAAATAAGTCCTGAAATTTTCATTAAAATCCGACAATTATTTGATTTTTGCAAGAATTTCCAAGCCAATGTGTTTTTCACCGGAAAAAAAGGCGCTAAAACACTAATCGTAAATATTACGTCGACCGCTATCGAACAGAAAACAAAACAAAAAAAAAAAACATAAACGGATTTTTAACCAAAATTTCGAACGTGCTAGAAAGGATTAAAACCTTTAATAAAATAAAAAAAATACTTTGGCCTTTCCTCTTAATAATAACAAACACTTTGACGATAAAACTATTTTTATTATGTTTCAGGCCTTTTTTCATCATGCTATACTGTTTTTCAGCGAGAAAGTGGTGGTATATATATATATATATATTACTTTAAAATTATTTTTAGTGGAAACCCGTATTTGAGGAGACGTTCCGTTTTTTAACAGTATTATATTCGGTCAACCAGCCTGTATATTATATAAAATATTTTAAAAATTATAAAAGGAAATATTACTTCCGACACGATTCGAACCTGCATTTCCTTTTGAAGGATACACCTTCTCCTGTGTAACCAGTCTAATAATCTATCTTTAAGCACGTATATAATATATGTCATAGAATTATATTATTTATCTATAAGCTTGACATATAAAAAGCTCAGTGATATATAAATGCAGTGGTGTTTTACAAAATGCGCCGTGTCTCTATCGGGAGTGAAAAAAAATATAATTAAATAAAAATAATAATAATAATTTTTTATATTTAATTTCTGGCACCGAAATATTATTTTCCGGAAATCGTTTTCGAAATTTTACCCAGCATCCTAAAGGCTGGAGGTTATTTTCTATTATTTAATTTTCTTTATTTATTTTCTGTTTGTGTTTCAAAATTTACCGACTGAAAATTCGGGTGCTTTTGACGTCGAGAAATACAGGGCCGGTATTTGGCCCCATAGAATTTTTTTTACAAATGCAAAAGAAGGAATCAATATATTATTTTCTTTTTTTTTTTTCTTTTATTTAAATTCATGCTATTTTATTTAATGGAGTCGCTTTCACCAGGATATCATGTCGTCCCATTTTGAGGGTTCCGACTAGAAAGGAAAGCATTTAACTTTTAAATGTTTTGTATTTGTTTTTTCTTCTTCTTCTCAAGAACTTTGACGAGAGAGTGGGAAGCAAAGTGTCGTCCTAAAATTAGTCCAGTGCGAAATGCACCAGTCGAACCTCACAGTTGCTCGCCCAATATTCCATGTGTTCCGCCATGTTCATTTTTTTTTTTTTTTTTTTTTACTTTTTTGGTTGTTCTTGAGGTGAGGGCAATTTTCGCGGGCAGACACTGAACACAACACGCCTGTCGATTGCGTTACGAAGTCGGTCACGTGGATTACACGGAGAGGGAAGGCAAGAGAGAAGGGGAAAGGAGAGGAGAGGGAACGCAAGAGAGAGGAGAGGGAACGCAAGAGAGACAAGGAGAGGAGAGGGAACGCAAGAGAGACAAAGAGAGGAGAGGGAACGCAAGAGAGACAAAGAGAGGAGAGGGAACGCAAGAGAGACAAGGAGAGGAGAGGGAACGCAAGAGAGACAAGGAGAGGAGAGGGAACGCAAGAGAAAAGAGTATAGAGGAGAGGGAGGGCAAGAGAAAAGAGAGGCAAGAGAAAAGAGTAGAGTAGAGGAGAGGGAGGGCAAGAGAAAAGAGAGGCAAGAGAAAAGAGAGGCAAGAGAAAAGAGTAGAGTAGAGGAGAGGGAGGGCAAGAGAAAAGAGAAGAGAAGAAGGAATGCAAGAGAGACAAGGAGAGGGAAGGCAAGAGAAGAGAAGAAGGTGAAGGACCCAAGAGAGACAAGGAGAGGAGAGGGAACGCAAGAGAGACAAGGAGAGGAGAGGGACGCAAAGAGAGACAAGGAGAGGAGGAGGGCAAGGCAGAGACAAGGAGAGGAGAGGAACACCAAGAGAGACAAGGAGAGGAGAGGAACGCAAGAGAGACAAGGAGAGGAGAGGGAACGCAAGAGAGACAAGGAGAGGAGAGGGAACGCAAGAGAGACAAGGAGAGGAGAGGGAACGCAAGAGAGACAAGGAGAGGAGAGGGAACGCAAGAGAGACAAGGAGAGGCAAGAGAAAAGAGTAGAGGAGAGGGAAGGCAAGAGAGAAGAGAAGAGAAGAAGGAATGCAAGAGAGACAAGGAGAGGGAAGGCAAGAGAGAAGAGGAAAGGAGAGGAGAGGGAAGGCAAGAGAAAAGAGTAGAGGGAAGGCAAGAAAGGAGAGAGTAGGCAAGAGTAGAAAAGAAGAAAGACACAAGAGAAAAAGAGGGGGAAGATAAGAGAGAACAAGTGGCGACCTGTATGGATTTAATAGCATATATATATATATATATATATATATATATATATACACACACATATATATATATATATGTGTGTGTGTAGTTCAATTTTATTGATCGACTCGTTCGTTTTCTAAGGCTTATCAACCCTTTGCAGGTTATTTAAAGCCAGAAAATATTTTAGATTCTAAGAAATTTTGTGGAGATAATAATGGTTTAGTGATATAAGTCATGCTAATTAACCCATAGATGGGGAAAGAAAGTTGGATTCAAACCTTTCCCCAATAGTATTTGCACGTAAGTGACTATAACGAACCCAGCTGGAATTAGAACTCTGCTCTTCGATTAACAATTCCGAGCCATTATCCATTACACCACCTGCACATACAAGCATCTGATATTCCAAAGCGGTCACCATGCTCGACGTTGCTTAACTTCGGTGATCATACAGGAACCTGTGGTTCAGTTTTTATAATTGGGTAAAATAAATGTTTAATTATAATCACTAATAATAAAATAGAATAATTAAAGCAATAGACAGTAATGAAAATTATGTGACGGACAGAAGAATCGTTCCTGCTGTAGAGCTTAGTAACCTCAGCATACGTTTTTTTTTCTTTGCTTCTTATACCGAGAACTTTTAAAGGAATGACTTTGCAGTTTCTCTTGGGCCTTTAGAAACTACCAGCACCTCTACTGTTGCCAATAGAAACCATTATTCAGAATTATTTCCGGGTTTCTTAGCGTATAATTGAAATCGCTAAAAGCAAAACCGCGGATAAGACGGGACCACTCTATAAAACAAAATGTTTAATTATAAAAGATGTACTTTCTCGGGTATCTTTAGAAACGTATGCTCTGCCCCGCGGATAAAATTACGACGGCTCTACTGTGCAAACTTAGTTTTTAAATAATAATTAATTAATATTGAAAATTCGAAAAATTGGTTCGACACACGGAGGCACACGGAGGCAATATACAATTCTTCTCTGTCTCTTTTTCTCGCATACAGTGTATATGTACATTTTTCATCTCACACAATGTTTTAGGTCAATACGTCATGGGCATGAGATCTACACCCGTCTATAGGCCTAAAATTTGGAGCCATCATTTGGAATTTGAAGAAGCGTATAAAAATTTAAGGTTTCTTGCCTTCGCAGAACTGATTTACGAAATTACTTCAGGACAGAGAGATTTCTCTTCTTGGAGCCTTTCATTATATATTCAGCAATAATAACAAAATTAACTTATTAATGTATTAGCATTCCCTTAACGGACTCTCTCTCTCTCTCTCTCTCTCTCTCCCCCCCCAAAAAAAAACAAAACAATGTCTGTCACGCACTAGTGGATTAAATAGTTTCAGCCTCCTAGATTAATAGGAGTTAATAAATCAAAGTCATGAATTTTTTTCATTATTAAATACAGAATGTGTGTGTGTGTGGGGGGTACAAACCCTTAGTCTATTTTTC